CTATGGTGCTTTGTTCAGGGCTTCTAGTTCGTATAGGTTGTGTCTGGCGATGGGGTAGGAAATGAAGTTGGCCTGGTAGTTAGTTGAGTTCGGTTTTGGATATGAACCGCTAGGCTCTTGTTGGTGTGGACTGTGTGGTGAGTAATCCCCAGTGGTCTGGTTTCCACGTGTGTGTCTCTCTTAGGAGGGTCGTCCATAAAGGGGGGATGTTGTGATGAATCTCCGGTAGGTTGTTGTTTAGAAGGTGGAAACCCTTCAGGGTGGTGCGCAGGTCCTGTTCGTTAAGCCATTATTGGTGGTCCTCGGACCACAGATGTTTGATCTGCCATACAGCTCGTTCTACCCATGAGAGCCATTTGCGGTCTTTAGGTCGGAGAGTCCAAGGCTCGCCCTCTGTGTCTTTAATCCAAGGATTGCAGAACAAGGGTTGTCTTAGGACTTCCTCTTTATTGCACAAAGAACCTTTCTTTTCTGGCATCAGTTGGTGCCAGACCTTCAGGATCGGTGACCAGTAGGTGTTGGTTGTGGTGGAGGGATGAGTGGGTGTTGCAAGGTGAGTTCTCCTTGTTGAGCTCCTTGATTCGATTGCCCATTCCCTTTCCATGATCCAGAAGAGGCCCCTCATGTTCGGTGGGGAAGCTATCGGTGCCAAATTCCTTATGTTGTCTAACGCCATCTTGGTCCACGGGAGGGCATGCTTTGTTAGGATTTTGATTACCCATTTCATCTGGAGGACGGTCGCTTCCTGTTTCGGATCGATGATGCCTAGTCCTCCTTCGTGTGGCTTCTTAATGACCATTTGCCAGTCTACTTTCTTTAGGCATGTGGTTCTGCGCGGGTCTCCAGTCCACAGGTAGCATCTGGCTTTCGCTTTCAACTTTTTCAGGTCGTCATCGGGAGAGGACCATATGGAGGCCATGTACCACAGTGTTGAGAAAACGGTCGCGTTGATGATCAGCGCTCTCCCTACCAAGGAGGCTTGGGCTTTCCTGCAGAGGGCTAGACAAGTTATCGCTCTGGCAATCAGAGTCTCCCCCATCCCTTGCCAAATGCCTTCTTTGTTTACCATAGTACCCAGGTCCGAAGAGCTTGGTCTCCTGTGGACCATGACATTGGGGTGAATAGGTATGGGGGTTGGGCGGGGGTGCCTTCTGCAAGCCACCATCCTTCGGTTTTCTCCCAGTTCACCTTCATTTTTTAGGCTAGTCTGAAGGCTTCAATAGGTCTGGGGGTTGNAGGTCTGGGGGTTGGGGGGGGGTGCCTTCTGCAAGCCACCATCCTTCGGTTTTCTCCCAGTTCACCTTCATTTTTTAGGCTAGTCTGAAGGCTTCCATAGCGCGGGCTAGGGCTTGAAAGGAGGAATTGTTGGCGCGGATGAGGACCATGAGGTCGTCTGCGAACATAAGTGTTGTGGGTAGAGCGAAATTGTGAAGGGGATTGTAGTTTTGTTCAGCCAGGCTGTCTAGGGATGGGTCCTTGCGCAGAAAAGAGGCAATCGTTTCCATTATGAACAAGAACATCAGTGATGTGAGGGGGTCCCCTTGGCGGACCGATCTCGATATCGGATGGGTGTTTGACAATATTTTGTTTATCTGCACTTTGCCTGTGGCGTCTCCATATAGCACTCTTACCCACTCTCTGAAGTTTGGCCCGACTCCCATCTTCTCCATCCAGTCGTGGAGGAAGTCCCAGTTGACTTCATCGTAGGCCTTTTGAAAGTCGAAGAATAGGATCACCCCCTACATCCATTTTTCTGTTATCTTCTTTGCAGCCTCATTCAGGGCCATCACGTTATCAAGAATATATCGGTCTGGGATGAAGCCTGCTTGGTCGATATGGAAGCATTTGTTCGTTAGTTTTATGATTATGTTGGCTAGTGCCTTTGCGAGGATTTTGTAGGGCGTTGTGAGGAGTGTTATTGACCTGTAGTTCTTTAGATCTTCCTTGTCTCCCTTCTTGTAGATCAGAGAGACTACGCTAGTGCTCAGGAACTGGCCCAGGCCTCCCTTTTCCCTACTGTCGTTGATGAAATTCAAGAGGTCGTTGCCCAGTTCCGGCCAAAACTGGGTCCAAAATTCTTTGGACAGACCATCGATACCTAGTGCCTCGTCGTTTTCCATCTGGGACTGGGCTGCGTGACGTTCTTCTGAGGTGATTGGTTTGTCCAGATCCTCCGTATGATTTTGCGTGATCGTTCTATCTAGGTGCCTCATCATGTGCTGGCAGGCATTGATATTTGTTGTTGGAGGGGAGGATGGGGTCTTGGCCTCGTAGAGATCAGCATAGAAGGATCTGGTGATCCTTACTATGTCTGTGCCGGTTGACTTTGTCTTCCCATGATTTGTTGGGTCCTTTAGCCCCTCTATCATGTTGTTCCTAGCATTGGCCTTGATTTTGGAGGAGGAGGATTTAGACATGGATTCGTTAAGAATGTAGTCGGTCATTGGGGCGCGAATTTGTAGGCTTCTGAGTTCCCATCTTCTCCATTCATTTAGTTCCTCTTTGGTCGATTGGAGTATGTTGTGGTAGAAGAAGTTGGTAGGGTCGGATACGAGGTTGGCCTCTGCCACTTCGCGAGTGATCTGCAGTTTTTCCTTCCTTAGTCTGCATTCTGCTGCTATGGTTCTAGACTCCGCTGAAACCGGTTGGGATGGGTCTATGTAGCTATCTATGAACCACTTGTGTTTGTTCGAGCGTTTCATCTCGTCTTGCTGTAAGAACACCAAATTCCATCTGACTGCCTCGGTCATGCAGTCTGTGGAGAGAAGGGAGTTATTCGTTCTAAAAAAACCCTGGCCTTTCTCGACTGGGGAGTTGAAATTTAGGAGCAGGTATGCCGGTTTGCGGTCGAATCCCTGGAAGGCTGTTGCTTGAAGGATATCGGCCTCCTTGATAGTTCCTGCAGCGTATTGGAGATTAAGAAGAAGTCAATTCGTGATAGTCATGTGTGGTTAGAACGGTTCGTTTTGACTAAGGAGAAGGCTTTCTTTCTGGGGTGAAGGGTGCGAAAGGGGTCGATCAGATCGAACTCCATCATGATATTCTGGATGTGTGTGCTAGCTCTGTGGGACCCAGCAGGACTGATAGGGAGATGCGGTCTAGGCTGGGGTCGAGTGTCGTGTTCCAATCACCTGCTATGATCATCGGTAGGGGGTTCGGGAGGAGTGATTTGATGTGATCGAAGAACGCTAGGCGTTCGTTTTCTGCATTTGGGGCATATGGGTTCAGGATCCTGAGCTCTTCCCTTTGCCAAGTGATTTGGATCCATGACCATTGCCCTTCATTTGTGTCGCCTTCGCTGTTAATTACCTGTCCTTCCGACCAGATCTTGGAATTGGACGGTATAAGGATCGCTGTGCCTCGGTTGCTTTGGTCCTCTTTGTTGGACCACAGTTTGAACGGACAGCCACCCAGGCTTTTTTCAGCAGTCCGTTTGATTCTAGTGTGATGTGTGAGGTTGGATAGGTGGGTCTCTTGTAGTAGGATGATGTCGGGTTTGGGCTTACTCTTGTCCGTAAGACCGAGCCTGATGTCCCTGAGTTTGTCATCCTCAGTGAGAATGTTGCCCAGGCAGTTGACGTTCCAGCTATGGATCGTCAGTCCTTTGGCCTGTCAGCCTACTCTTACGGTTTCAGATGGCACAGCGTTGCAGTCCATCTGACAAGCCTACTCTTACGGTTTCAGATGGCACACCGTTGCAGTCCATCTGGTTCCGTTTTTCGGGTCACTGTGCTTGGTGCTGTCCTCTTCTGGTCTGATTTTTTTTTTTTTTTTTTTTTCCATCTAATCGACTGCCGCCGCTGTCTCCTTGCTGTCTGCCCCTGTTCGTTCCCAATCGTCGTTGGTGCTCTTCACAGATCCGGACATCATGCTGTAACCCCCCGTGCTGCCCTCAGGCACTGGGGTGGATCCGTGACCGTCACTGATGAGGGGGGGTTGCCATACAGGATGGCATCGTTGTCATCATTGCCGTCCATGAGTCTGTCTTCGTCGTCAGGCTCTACGTATATCGGCTCAGCTTTTTCCTGCAGGGATCTATCAGTGGCAAGGATGCGAGATCTGATGATGGAGGCCATGGACTCAGCCATTACCTCTGTCGGGCACATCTTGTTTGCAAGAGTGCTGTATGGCAGTGCAGTGACTGTGTTCCATGCTCTCCATACCAGGCCCTCACGGAGCTTCGCCTTTTCATCCATTTTGATGAGGATTGGCTCGAAAGGCTTGGTGGAGTCTGGTACCTGTTCAGGTTCACTCTGTCCTACTGTTGGAGTGGATGTGCAAGGGATGCTGAAGAATCCCAGGGGATAATCCTCAGAGATCTCTTCTCTGATAGTTCGTGCCAACGTTCGTATGTCTCCCAGAGTCGGGATGCTGAAAGAGACGTCAGTGGCCACCTGCCATTCGCTGAGTCTCCTTCTGTAGCGGACTGGGACAAGGGGCCTGACTCTCCTTATGGTTTTCCGATCAGGGGCGGCTTTTTCAGTGACATGAGGCGCCTTGTTATATATCTGCCACATTCTGGATTGTGCAGAAATATTTTTTGTGATTTTTGCAGTGTTATGCATTCTGGTAGAACAGGCATTTTGTCTGGGTTGCTACAATAGCAATCTCGTGTTGGATGGCCCGCTGTTCGTTGGGGTTCCCTGCCTTGTAGACAGTGGTCTCCTGGACACATGTACGGATTTTATTATTATTATTATTTTTTTTATAACCAATTGTTGATTTAAGTGTGTCATCCTTGCATCGGGGCCATGCTAATCTTTGCGGTGTCGTTCCAGTTGAGCAGATGTCCTAAGCATTCTCTACATCAGTGTGCACTGTGCATGCACATTATCATGTTGCCCTGCCCTCATAAGGCTTGGGACTGTGGAGCACTTTGGACTTTGCATTTTTTTCTTTCTTTCTTTTTTTTTTTTTTTTTTTTTTTTGAGAAGATAATTTCTAAGTTCTAATTTGAAATGTAATGGATTTACGTCGAATTTTACGACATGCCAATGCAGGTGCTGGCGACACTCTCTGTCAATTTCCTTTCGGTGATCATCCTTTTGGGAATGCTGTCTCGCAAACTTCAAGGTTAGACTGATGGCGTTTTTCTTTTAAACTCTTTTTTTTTTTCAATGAATGTTTATCCTTTTTTATTTTCCCGCCCTCCCTGGACAACAATCTTTCAGCTGCCTGTATTAACAGGGCTTGAGAGCATAGTCACGTTAGGACTTTCCTGGATGTATCGGACTGGAATTGCGGCTTCTCCTGCATGAACCTGACCAAAATTACGTTCGCAAATGAGTCAAGAAAGTTCTAGTGTCAGTATGCCCTCACTCTTCCAATCTCTGCCTATGCCACCGTTTGCCTCCGTCCCACCTTTCCCACACTCACTGCCTGTCCCACTTCGCCTGTCCCACTCTACCTTTCCCACTTTACCTGTAGCACTCTACCTGTCCCACTCTAAAACCGGCTGTGTCCCACTTTGCCTGTCCCAATCCAAAACTTTCTGTCCCACTTTACCTTCTCCCACTCTGGCTGTCCCACTTTGCCTGTCTCATTTTGGGTGCCCGGCTTGTCTCTCTGTCTCTCTGTAAAACTGCATCCCCCTCTGCCTGTGCCCCTCTGGGTATCCTCGCCTCTCCATGATCCCTGCCCCATCCGTTTGTCTTTTTTTTGCTTTATTTTTCTTTTCTGTTTGACGATCTTTTTAATGATTTCTCCCCGTCACTCTCACACTGAATTGAAATGTGAAATACTTTTGCTCTCCAAAACAAATGTTGTAGATAAACGGTTAGGTGCATCAACTCTATCGAGAGCTGCTCGTCAGCGCTGGCATATGCTCTTGCCCCATCCCACCTTACCCCCCCCGGCGCCCCCCCTGGTCCAGCCAACCCCGTCCTTCTGCTCCAGCCAACCCCATTTGCACCCGTTGTGTTGTGTTGTCGTTGGCTGGTGTCAACTGAAAATAACAAACAGGTTGCATAGGACTCCTAATGGTTAACACAAGTTCTCAGAAGAATGATTTATTATTTGCACAGAGAAAGTTGGGAATGCATGCTGACTGTACCCCTGTCTCTATAGCTTTTTTCTTTGCCCCTATCCAGGGCTGTGCCGGCAACCGGCCGGTTGGACTGGGCCAGAATTCCGGTTGGGCCCAAATGTGGGACAAATTTTATTATTATTATTTTTTTTAACATGGTCAGACTGTGCTCGCCGAGATCTCCCCGAATCCGCAAAGAAAACTGTGAACAGAGAAGTTTCATTCCATGTTTGTTTTTTATTTTTTTTGGGGGGGGAGGGGGGGGGCTGCGTATTTCAAAGTTGGGGGTTGGGGGTTGGGGGTTGGTGGGGTTATGGTGGGGGTATTAGCGGCGGCTTGTTTGGATGACGGGATGGAGTGGGAGGAGTGGAAGGGCGAGGAGACAAAGAAGAAGAAGAAGAAGAAGAAGAAGAAGAAGAAGAAGAAAAATAAGATGGAGGGGGGAGGGCATCGGGGGAGCAGTTTCATGAACTGTTCTCTCTCTCTCTCTCTCTCTCTCTCTCTCTCTCTCTCTCTCTCTCTCTCTCTCTCTCTCTCTCTCTCTCTCTCTCNTCTCTCTCTCTCTCTCTCTCTCTCTCTCTCTCTCTCTCTCTCTCTCTCTCTCTCTCTCTCTCTCTCTCCACGTGTCAACTTGCACGCAGCAACTACTGTGCCCATGAAGGCAATGGTGCAACTATCAACTTCTGATAGGCGGGCCTGAGCTGTAAATCCGCAAAGGGAACCGGGTTTCTCACAGTTGCTCGTCTTCCTTACGTCCATCCTGACATCCATCCGAGCAGGCTTGCTATGTAAACATGGTCGAGGCGGAAGGCATTGGGTTGAAAAACTTTGCTTGTAATTGAACATGGGCAGGGCGGAAGGCAGCACGTCGGGGTGAAAAATGTTGTGTTTCCAACTTTCCACTACTCAACATTCTCTATCAATCACGACGGCTTTCTGCAACGGGTGCATTGTTAGGAGGGAGTGGAGCAGGGCCCGTGTCTCCACTACTCAAAATTCTCTATGGATTGCGACAGCTTTCTGCAAAAGGTGCATTGGTTGGAGGGAGTGGAGTGGGGCCCTCGCTCCACCACTCACCAACTGTGTGAAATGAGAATGAATCTTTTGCTAGAACATGGAAAGATACACTGCCTTTTTTCTTTCTTTTTTTGTTTGGAACTTCAAGTGGAGGGCTGGGCTTTAGGAGGTGATAAGAGCATCCCCCCAAAGTGGGTCTCCTGGCAAAGGCTCCATCTATTGGTGGGGATCAGCACCTGCTGGAAACCGGGTCCAGCGTCCCTTTTGGGGGCAAACAATAATTTGGTCTCTCTGTAACCCCTGTACCGCTGATCGTCTGGATGGTGCTAAGACTCCCTACGCTGAAAACTGGGCCCAGCATCCCATCTTTCCATACAAGTTGTTTCTGAGTACTCCTGTACCTCCTGTAGACCAATTGGTAAATGCAAAGTGTCCCCTTGCTAGAGACTGGGTACAGCGTCCGATTTGGGGGGTTGCTGATGCACTGCCTCTTGGCCCCTGTACCGAGGGAGGCCCAGTGCTCCCCTTTCCTGCTTGCCTCAGGAAAACCTGTTTGTGGGGACATTTGCATGCCTGGTTTGGACACTTTGTCAGCGCCAGCCCAGGGTAATGTTGCTGCAGTTGTCATATGTAGGCCGTTGTGGATTACCGGGTGGTTGGGATGAGCTGGCTGGCCAGTGGTGGGATGGAGAGAGGGGAGCGGAGAAGGCATCCCGGGCAGAGGGCGGCCTTCAAGGGGA